TGTGCAATCTCTCCATGAGTTGGTTTTGAAACCCAGTAAGGGATTCTGAGATACATTACCAAGGATATTATTACAAGATAAATCATTTGCTTCATTGAACACATACAACAAAGCATATTTCCACTGAGATCAGTGACCTTTGATGTGTATCACCAGTGATCAGTCAAGTAGAAACAGTCGAAATATTTTATCAGTTTTTCTCAATTTTTGCATGATATTTTCATACAGGACATCTGTTGTTCAAACTCAGGGAAGACGTTATACTGATGAACAAGGTGACCAAGTTTGATAAAGTTTGGAATAGAATTAGTAAAGTTATCATGCACACAATAACAATTATTAACGACGACGACGACGACGACGACGACAACGCCGGACAAAATCTTTCCCTTAATATACCTTTCCCTTCCATCTTTGATGGTACGGGCAAGGTAAAAATGCAAATGATATTAGACCCAAGCGATATCCCCTGAACAACTAGTGTATTGTTTGTACCCATCTTTTGAGAAAATGATAGAGAAATCACAAGCATGACAGCCAGAAAGATAAAGAAATTGTAATTGGCATAGTAATTATGCAAATTTGACATGACCTCCATAGTTACAGTGGTTTACACTTGCGGCCACTGATGGTTTGGTATCTTAGCTACAGATGTTCAAAACTAAATTTTGATTGACATTGTTATTGGTTAGTGTAATTGTATTACGTCAATACATATTATACAATAAAATTATCAAATTACTTTTCTAAACACATAAAATGATGACTTGTAATGCAAATATGGATGTTTATCATACTATATTAACTTGTGATATTACACACTCCATGTCACTTGTGAATACTATAAACTACTGCCATATGATACAAAATAAGTGAATTAGATGAGTACACTTAAGGCAGACCTCAGTTTTGAAATACGGTAACACACATAATAAAGAAAACATTATCATATTGCTGATTAACATGTAATAATTAATGTGTGATACCAAAACATTGACAGACAGGGTAAAAAATCTAATTTTGATTACAGTCCACATAATAATAACAAGCCATGCGTGGCACAGTCCCAGTTAGTTATCAAATTTAAGAGAGTTTTGTTTATCTTAATATAGTTTGAAAATAAACATGTCAGAGATATGTATCCAGAAGCTGATGCTTGATTATGATGATTTTTTAACTTTAAATGGTTGACATTCAGTCATCTTGTATCTGATTATCGAATGAGTACTTGTCCATATTGAGAAATATTACTCATAGCAATACATCTGTGTTTGAACATAATCCGTCAAAACATGTCAGAGATATGGCACTAGAACTGCATTGATTAAAACAAAATGGCCACCAGTCAGCCCGTTTTGAATCCGATCTGAAAAATAAAATGATGTGCATCAATGTCCAATGTATGTACAAAGTTTGAACAAAATCCATCTGTAAACAGCTGAGATCCGCCGATCACTGGTAGCATAGTGGTTGTCGCATCAGACTCATGATTGGTAGACCCAAGTTCAAATCCTACTTTAGGCTGAACATCAAAGGGTCGATAGCTACCCTGGTTGAGTGTGCCACAGACTCAATAGGAAAGCCAATTCCACTGGCCAAGATTCATTCACTAACGAATGCGACTTTGAGGGAACCTTGGTTAAGGTCCGCAGGTGCTTGTGTTCGACCGAGCCTGGTTGACGCCAGAAAAGCGCATTAAAAAAAATTACCATTTGACAGAGAGCTGGCCACACAGCCCTGTCATGTAGTCCCAAACATGAATATGACTTCTGTGGCAAAATGCATCATGTGTCAGCACTAGCACTTGCAATTCGCACATACAAAAAAAATTAAAGAAAGCTTAGAAAGAACTCCCGTGTGCTGAGAGTATTGAAGACACATTAAAAATTAATTCAAAATTACTTGTACTTGAGATATTGATGGAATAGCTGAAAACTAATTATGTAAATCAGGTAACTGATATGAACAGATTTGAGTGTGAAACTAATAAGGCCTGCGTAATGTAATATCTATGTACCAAGTTTCATTATAAATGTGATTAGAACAAAAAAACTATGAATTATTATTATTAGAAATGTGATGATGAATACTCTTTAAAAGTTTCATTAAAATCCAATTGGTGGTTCTTTATATATCAGTGGAACATTCATGGAAAAAATTAACTAATTATGCTAATAAGGTGATTAATATGCACAAATATTTACCCCAAAACTAATCAGGTCTCTGCACAGTTCTTAAGTAACTGTGTACCAAGTTTCATTGAACTGTGATGATTACTACTTGACATATCAAAAGCTGAAAATTATGCAAATTAGGTAAGTAATATATACTTATATTACCCTATCACACTATCAGGTCTGTGCAGTGTCCTATGACATCTATGTACCAAGTTTCATTGAAATGTGATGATTACTACTTGAAATATCAAAAGCTGAAAATTAATTAATTATGCAAATTAGGTAAGTAATATGTACTGATATTACACTAAAAACTATCAGGTCTGTGCAGTGTCCTATGACATCTATGTACCAAATTTCATTGAAATGTGATGATTACTACTTGAAATATCAAAAGCTGAAAATTAATTAATTATGCAAATTAGGTAATTAATATGTACTCATATTTCCCTAAAAATTATCAGGTCTGTGCAGTGTCCTATGACATCTATGTACCAAATTTTATTGAAATGTGAGGATTACTACTTGAAATATCAAAAGCTGAAAATTAATTCATTATGCAAATTGGGTGATTAATATGTACTGATATTACTCTAAAAGCTATCAGGTTTGTGCAGTGTCCTATGATATCTATGTACCAAATTTTATTGAAATGTGTTCATCAGTACTTGAGATATCAGAGGAAAAGCCACAAATTGATTAATCATTATGCAAATTAGGTAATTAATTAATATTGCACAGATTTTTAGCCAAAACTAATTAAATATGCGCATTAGTTCAGAGCATCTATGTGCCAAGTTTCATTAAAATCCAATGGGTGGTTCTTTAGATATCAGTGGAACAGTCATGGAACAGCTAAAAATCAGCTAATTATCATGCAAATTAGGTAATTAATATGCATGGGTTTTACCAAAACCTAATCAAATCTGTGCATTGGCCCAGAGCATCTATGCACCAAGTTTCATCAAAAACCGATGTATGGTTCTTGAGATAGCAGTGGAACAGTCAGATACACATACACACACACATACATACAGACACACTAACTGCAAAGACACACTAACTGCAAAGACTCCCATTGTGTGCTTCGCACAGGGAAGTCAAAAAGGTCAGGAGAGACAGTGACACTCAATGTCCAGAACTGTCGCCTGGCACAAAAAAAACAACATTTTTTGAAAATGAAAATGAGGTCAACATTTGAACAACATACAGAGAAAGCCATGGTAAATATAAAATGAAAAAATAGTTTTTTTGAAATTCTTATGACTGACATTAAACAAAATGATTTTAGCAATGACTCCAAGCAAGTGTAGTAGAGCGCATTGATAACCTGACTTGTATCCATGATGTACGTACAATTACAGTAACCTTGCTCCCTAATTTACACAACACAGACAGTGTGACGAATACATACCACACCAACAACTGTGTTGTTCCTGACTTTAATAAAGACATCAAGGGCTAAACCATTCTCATAGGTTGGGTAAGTACCACTTGGCTGAACATTACTGATACCTGGGTCCTGTTATTAGTTTCAAAACATATTGAATATATTCATTTCTAAATAATATTAAAGAAATGAAACACAACTTTAAAGGTATATAACAGTAATCATATTTGTTGTGCACAAGTTTTATAGCTGTATATTACAGTTAATTTGTTTTCTAAGAGTGATAACTGTTACATCACATGGTTATGTTATCTAGGGTACACGATTACTGTGAACCGCTTAATTTTCACTGCCAAGAATTCTCATGATTTGAAAATTTTATGACATTTGGAAGAGAAAATAGTAGTTGACAGTATTTTCTACCTTTGTACCAATTTAAACAAAATTAATCAAGTAATAATCATTATTGCATAATCATATCCTTATTTGGATATTGATTCAGAAAAAGAAAATTACAATAAAGACGACAAATGTCTTGAAATGTTTTGTTTTTGGGAGGGCTGAAACTCAGGTAGTAAAAACATGGACAAATATCCCCATCACTGTTATAAAACTACCTAAATGTTGTGTTTCATATTACATGTGTTTACCTGGCCTTTCACAAGTGAACCATTAGCAAAAGTAATGAATGCTCCAATTGACAAACCATCATCATAAGGGGCATAAGACCCCTTAGGTTGTTGGTTACTGATGCCTGGATCCTAATGGTGGAAATATAGTTATTATTTTCATGAACAAATCAAAACATTCAGCAATGTATGATGGGAGAAAAATGGCAAAAACAAATTTACACTTCAGACAAATTAAATTGATATAGAATGAAGCCATACAGTAAATTTCGTAAAGACAAACATTTTTTATATAAAATATTCATAAATGTTTTATACATTTCAAATGACGACATTGTTTTTACCAGAAATAAATTATTATATATATCTAGCAAATTAAATCAACCAATGATCGGAGGAAGAAAACTCACAAAGACTCATGGGTAATTATGGGCATTACCAAATGGCTTCTATATATCCAATGACAATTTATGCTGGATTTTAATAAAGTGTAAACGTCTTTGCAGGGTTAACATTTATAAATTTTTTGTCAAATTCCATAAAAAAAAACCGTCATGTCGTCATTCAATTCACTGTATTCAATGGACACACATATAAAGCGGATAATTTTAACGTGCACTAGATGAGGTAATGACCCTTGACATTCAATCTCATAAGAATACATCATCCTAATAAGTTGAAGTTGGTTCAGATTGGATATAATCAATCTCTAATGTGTGCAAACCTCACTTTCTGGCCAACTGCAATGATACGATACGTACGATTCATCATCGATATATTCCGTCAATGTGAAAATGAGGCTTGAAAAACATCAGAAATGGGCGTGGCATGATAAAAGCAAATTGGGGTACTATAAGTATATGCACACTATCGGTACCTTTTACAGCCAGATATCGATTATAATATGTGATGTACTAGCAAAATACTTACAATGATATTAACATAATGTTGTCCATGGTCGTGTAGATCTTTCACAACATCACTTAAACCAGAAAAGTTTGTCTTATCATACGTCCAATCAAGATGTTTATCCATATAATCAATGTCATTCCATTGGCCATCCTACAATTTATAAAAATAGAACTTATGGGATAAAACTGAACCAACAGAGAGATTTCTTTCAGCACAAGTTATTCATCTTAGAATGTCTATGGGGGATCTCAAGGTTATTCTCTACAATGGCTCCACATGTCTGCATAAATTATCACAATGCCATACTAGTTTAAAGTCAACATTATAGTTGATCCGTCGTCATGAATATCAGCGAAATATGCTTGGATTTTGATCACTGTAGCACCCTGCATGCCACTCTCCCTTGCAGAGTCTTCTTGACCTAGGGAGCCACAGAGAGCCACAACTAGTGGGACGTTCCCTGGCAACTACCTAGCTTAGTGATAAAAGACCCATAGTCTCAGCGACGGAGAATGCCTGCATGCAAAACGTAATTGAACTGCGGCTTGGTACAATGCAACAGAGGAGATGTAGCTTCTATTTTCTATTCTTCTATACATACGAGAAATGGTGAATTATGGGGTCTCAATGTTCAAAAAGAATCAGTGCAACTTCTATTAGGGATGAGGCTTCTATTATGTACTGGATGCCATGAATGGACTATGTACTGTGAATGCATATTCCATACATGTAGGGCCTGAGATCTGATTTCGGAATGGTTCTCTTGAAAGATGAATTTTTATTTTATAGTTAAATTGTAAATCCAATAATATTATGTATTATACTGGTTGAACTAAATCTACAAGCTACTAGTCTGAAAAAAAAAGTAATGAAAATGTTATAAATAAATTTTGTACATTACCTGAGGTATTCCAGCTTTTCTCATTTTCTCTACTACTTGCTGTGTTTTATCAGAACTGCCATACCCCCACCTGCATAGATGAAATCCCAGACTCCAATATGGCGGCATAAACGGTCGGCCAATCACCTCAGTGTATTGCTGTATCACCTGATCAGGACTGGGACCCAAGAATACATAGAAGTC